TATTTATTATTATGTAGTAGTAGTAGTAGTAGTAGTAGTAGTAGTAGTAGTAGTAGTAGTAGTAGTAGTAGTAGTAGTAGTAGTTGTTGTTGTTGTTGTTTTTGTTGTAGTAGTAGTAGTAGTAGTAGTAACAGTAGCAGAAGTAGTAGCAGTACTTGTAGTAATGAACTCACCACAAAGGTCCCCAGTATATCCTTCATTACACCTACAGTAGGGCGTGCGGCCATCTAGAGAACATTCACCGTGAACACACTCCCAGTCGTCACATGGGTTTTTAAAAGTTTTGTCTGGGGAGGAGAAATATGCCTGTATACTCGACTACCCGTTTCCAGCGGTAAGGCCAAGAACTTTGTATTGATCGCAGAAGATTCAGTTGTAATTTATAAGGCATCTAATTTCAACTAATATGACATGAAAGCTCTCTATCTCTCTCTTCTCGCCAAAACTTGGCTACTGCGTTTTTGTTGTGTCTGGTATCTCATATGAGAGAATGAGGAAACTACAAACGCACCCTTTCACAAAAAAAAATTTAAAAAATAAAAATAAAATAAAGTAAAATAAAATATAAAAAATACATAAATTTTTAAAAAGAACCACTACAAGAAGAGTAGTGCTGAGGAAAAAGAAGAAAGATCCTACATTAGAAAAGTTAAAAGCTCTGCACTGGATTACAGTTGGAAAGAAAAATCTCATACAAAGTTTATACCATCAATTATAAATGTCTGAACAATAATACATCGTAATGGTATTATTGTATAACTGGGTATTTAACACCGTATGTTCCATATCGTCAGTAAAGGCCGTCCACTGACGCAATGAAATTTAGAGCCCCTAGAATGAAATTAAAACCTTTTGTTAAAAAAAGTGCGGGTTTTTTTGGTCTTGTCTTGTTTCTTCGTTGTCTTGTCTTTTTAATTATTTGACCCTAATTTTTGGAACTCCTTGGCCGATGACCTCAGTGAAACCGCAGATCCTACTACGTTCCAGAGTTTGTTAAAAACCAATTTAAATTTGTTTAAGACTTAGATGGAGCGTTAGCATGTACTGATGTGTCTTGTACTTAATGCTGTTCTTATGTGTAAAAAGTTAACGTACGGCTGAGAAAATGTTTCCTTATTTACTTAAAGTGGCTGTCATATCTTTATAAAATGTATTTTGTGTGTGTATGAGGTTTCACTCATAGAAACCTTACTATCATCGATGTAAAGTGTTCGAATAGTGTATACGTGTATGGAGATAGAGTGCTGTATAGAAGTAATCATTTCTAATTCTTCTTCTTCTTCTTCTTCTTCTTCTTCTTCTTCTTCTTCTTCTTCTTCTT